CCTGGATCCGCCCTTGAGATATATAGCTAAAAGGTAACTCACAAATAGAAAAACACACCATATAGCTAGGAAAAGATAGGGATGGAGGAAAAAAAGTCGTATTTTAAAACTAGCATCTCGGAAAATTTGAACATGTTTCAATGGAAAAGAATCAGAATTACAAGCTTTCAAAAGTGTTGCTCAAATGTTTATAGCAAAAGTCCTCAAATGACAAAAAAAATGTTGCCAATTTAATTGAACTTTTAAATCTGCTGCAGTCCCTTGCTTGTCTTTGAAATAGCATATTGTTATTACTTATAGGTATGTCAAATTGAAGATTTTCCTGTTGAAGGATCAGTAAGCACAGATATTGGAGAACATGACAGAATGAATTGTACATTAACAATGAATATGTCGCAACCATCCTGTATCTTAGAATACACCGTTCCTCATCAATCTGAGCATAGGTTTGTATGAAAACTACAAATTGACACTAAACTATAATAGTATAGCCCATAGATAAATGTTATTCATTGTATTATGCAATGTAATTTACTTCATTTTTCATTCTATTTTTATTTTTTATTTCATTTTTCCTTTGCGATTGTTTTTCATTTTTTTGTTATTTTCATTGTAGAACTCAGACCAATATTTTATTACAATGTGATGTCAAACAGAAGGCTACTTTAGATCTTTTTTCTGTTAATTTTGATCATAGTATTTTCGTAAGTATTATATATAGTACTATTATTAATAAGTTACCACCTCAAATGGTTGATAATGAAGTTAAATAGTGCTGTGTGGCAGGCATAGAGGAGAGCCTTAGTGTCTTCTTTGATTGCTTGCTCACAGGATTTCCTTCAATCCTTTGTTCGTTCCTTCGTTCGTTCCTTCCTTCCTTCCTTCTTTCCTTCCATTATTCGTTATTCGTTCCTTTTACTCTTCCATTCTTCCTTCAATGGCATTCATGTACTAACCCCATGTCATACTCTACAATTTTTCTAGACTACGACTTTACATTCAGTATGTGCTTGCCCTGGGCAATGCAATTCACATGGAGCTATACCGCAACAAATTAGCACTGGCTCGCTTGTCATTATTGTGTAAGTCGTCCGTAAAATAATGATGATGATGATAATAATTCATCATAATCATACAAAAACAAAATTATTCAATAAAACACATCATTAGATAAAATCTTTAAGGAAAGAGGAAAGCTTGAAAAACTATAAAAATCCATTTCTCCCATTATTTTGTAATGTCGCATTATGTCATGAGTACGCTTTTTCTTTGCAGATTTGTTTGTTGTGCCTTTATTTATTTGATTGGAGGAATGACATTCAATAGGATTGCGAAAGGGGCAAGAGGAAGACAAATGATTCCCAACTTATCATTTTGGGTAGATCTCCCTTATCTAATCAAAGTAAGAAGCAACAATAAGCTAGACAACTTGTACGAAATAGGGTTTGAATTAAGGCCCTGGCTAAACGAGGAAACATGTTTCCAGAAACATGTTTCCCTAAATGTTTCCTAAGGTAGCAAAACTGTCAGGAAACATTGGGAAACGATGTTTCCATGCGTCTTGGAAACATGAAATGTTTCTGCCGCACAGCAAAAACATTTTTTGCGTCTTGGAAGCAAAATTTGTTGCACACAGTAATGTTTCGCATGCGGCTAAACTGGGTAACTGGGTAACATCGAGGAAACATGCGCGCGGTAAACATGTTTCCTTGTTTAGCCAGGCCAACGGTAATGAAAAACACATCCAATCAAAATGCAACACGGCACGGATGGCTCTTCCGCAATTTCGTTTGTCCGTCCGACTGTTCCTTCCTTCCCTCTTTATTTTCATTCTCTCTCTTTCTTTCTTTCGTTTGTTCTTTTTCTCTTTCTTTCACAGACGATCTCTATACCATATCATTGATTTTCATAGGGTGATCTTTCTTTATTTCTTCTGTTTTCTAGGATGGAGTAGTATATTCCGCAGTCTTTTGCTATTCCTGTTTCAAGCCCAAGAATAAAGGCTACACTGTCTTATGAAGACAACACCCACAACAGATCATCTTAGAATTGATATTTAGATTCATAAAATCCCTGGATCTAAGACAGAACCTGGACGTACTAGTGCTCGATAAGTGAAGAATTTCATGTTAAACAAGCGCTTACGAATATTATGAGATATTAGACAGAAACATCATTGTCAAATTGCAGTTTTCTGTACAAATCCACCTAAACACACAACTTCCAATCATCTTTTTCATTTCCTTTTTTTTATTTTTGCTCCTTTTTAAAAAAATATAATAAATTTCTTTGATCGTAACGTATACAGAATTGCGAAGCATTGAAGAGTTAAAGTTAAATTCGAACTATATATGAAAGCCATAAAAAGCGTCCGACAAAAATACCTATTTTGAGATATAGCTTAATTGCTGGTTAAGAGAGTCAATGAACAAATATCAGTTTTCGATAAAAGGTACAAAATAAAGCAAATAGTTGAAATCATGTTATTTGTTCTTATTTGGATTTTTTTAAATATTTTGGCTACGTTCTGACACCTGTTCCGTGCTCATCATTTATGCTCCTTTTTCTTTGCAAATTCAAAATTGTTGTTGTTTCGTCTGTCGTTTTAGTGGATTTTTTTATTAGTTTGAACCTTGATTCGTTAATATTCCGTGTCCATAACTGATTTTTCGGATAATGTCACTCTGATATCGTAGAAAACTAATCTTTAAAGTCAATATTTTCCCCAAGAAAAAGAAATTGATCTCACGCATCCATATCTAAATAGTTTTCCTAAAATAATTAAACATAATTGCAACAATATTTTACTGAATTGAACACAAGCTTTTTTTCTAAAATTCATTTCTAAATTTTTATCATTATTTTTTTTTAAATTAAAGTAAATTGCACATTTCATTATATTTATTTGTTGTTGGCGTTGTTTAAATATTGTATGAATATTTTTTCAAAAAGGCGGTTTACATATTGTACCATCGCCACGAATAATTAGAAGATCGCGCAACCTCGATCACTCAAAGATTTTGTCACATTTAGCTCTAATTTATCCTTCATTTTTGCGCGCAGTTTTGGTATTGATCAGATGAAGTCTGTAAACTTCAAATGAAAAAAAAGACTGTATCGGTCATGAATGGAATGACATGTTGACATTGCCATTGCCTAGCAACCCTTTTGCGGTTTAATAACTGCAACTAATTACAGGTTAGTTAATTGGTATGCTAAGTAAGCAAATATCCAGTCAAAAATTTACAGAATGACTTTTACTAAAGATAAAAAGAAGTGAGAAGCGGAACCGTTGCCTTACTCAATCCTCTTGAACTAAGGTGATAAATCACCTTATACTGGCTTGAGTTCTTATCCTATTCTTGGATAAAAATCAGTAAACTCGATCAGGACTGACAAGCTCGACGCCCATCGTACACAGGTATTATAGAGAGTTTCATTAGCAGGTGCAGATAATCGAGAAGAAAATTATTTTGTCGCGTGCGGAAAAATATCAAAACTCTGATTAGATTTTTTTAACATCGAAAACCCGAAAGAAAGAAAAATGAAGTTTGCGAAATAAATTAAGTTTATTACAACTGTACGGAACAAGGAAGGCCATGCAATAATAACTAACCTGACAACTGAAATACATGTGACTACAAGTGCTAAATTAGCTTCTTATTTTGAGCTACTACTGCGGATGTAGTGATTTTTATATCTTCAGTTCACTGTTGCCTGCTGTTGCTCAGTTTTTCTGTTATATTTATCGTTACAAAGTATTTTTCCTATGAGTGCTTGCAAGCATTGCATTGATGATAATTGTTTTACAGCTGGCACATTATTGTAATCATCAGTTTTGGGAATAATATTAAGCTTGCTGATCTATCGGTGGGTTTGTGTTTAATTATCAGCGGTGCCTTAAATGTTGACCTATTAAGAAAAACTGTGTTTCGAACCGTTCCGATTTATTAAATACTGGCTTTGCATTAAAAAATAAGTGCGATTCCGCAACATCATGAAGAGAAGAGCTAGCTACATATACTGTATTTTCTGTATTTTCGGTCTTGTGTCGCGTAAAACATATTTGTAAGTTAGGGAAAGAGTGGAATGACAAAAGAGAAGAGAAGGAAAGAGTATAGAAAAGAAAATAATAGAAGATAAGGGAAGAGAAGAAAAGGTGAGAAAAGGGAAGCGAAGTAAAGAGAAAATGAAAAACGAATAGTCAAGCAAGGAAGAGATAGGAGTGAAGGAGAAGAGAAGAATAACGGTCAGTAAAACGATCATAGAAGGAAAGCAAGTGAAGAGAAGAGAAGAATA